CTGTTATTATCTCACTGTACACAGGACAAACCTGAGGCAGAGAGAGGAAAATCCACAAAGTCCTATTTAGTGACAGTGGGATTTGAGTCAACCCAAASAGTCTGACATTAGAGCATTTAACTCCGCATTCCAAAAGATCTATAGGATCTCATAGCCAGAAGAGACATTGTTATAGTTTGAATATGGTTTATCTCCCAGAAGTTCAAGTCCTTAGGTTTGGTCTTCAGCGTGGTCATGGTAAGTAGGTGGAATTTCTAAGAAGTAGGTGAATTGTCATGTCCAAAGCCCAGTGTGCCAGGGAAGGGGGCAAATTGCTGAAAGGCCAAAGAAAGTGTCCAGTGATAACATGCAAAACATGATTTATTCGAGAAAGTTTACAAGAGATCAGTGGCTGCTCCAAGTAAAGTTCAGTGGTGACAGGAGAAACAGCTAGCACCTCTGTCCCTCACGGCATTTCCCCAAGCAGTGCCTTCATTCCTCTTGGCACTTTGTCCAGTGGCAGCCAGCAGGACAAGTAACAAGTATCTTTTCCACAGTGTCCCCAGTTCCACACCAGTCTCAAAGAGGGGTTTTACATGTTAGGCTATAGAAACAGTGATGCCATCAGCATTGCTTGCTTAGTTTGCTTATGTGACCAGCATCCCAAGGAGCAACCTTCCTGGTGTATGTACAAGAACAGAGCTGCCTACGTATAACACTAACTTGCCCTAGCTGCTGGTGTGCATAAGAGAAGAGTGTCCTTCAAGATCGTGTGTATCTGGGCTTTCCAGCCCAGGGCTTTGTTGGCTTAATTTGGCTGGGCATTCAGGGACATGGAGCTTTACTGTCCTCCTTTTCTCTAAAGAGGTTACACTAGTGGAAGGTGATTGGATCACTGGACACCACCTTTGCAGATCTTTGTAGAGTCCATTCCCAAGAGAATGGGTTCTAACAACGTGGCCTGGTACTTCCCTGAATCTCTCTTCTACTTGCACTGCTCACATGTCATCATACAAGCTACCATATTATGATGTAGCCAGAAGGTCCTCACCAGAGCAGAACAGATGGAGCACCCAATCTTGGACTTCCAGGCTCCAAAACAGTGAGCTAAGAAAACCACTTTTTTCAATGCTATCCAGCATCAGTTATTTTGTCRTAGCATCAGAAAAACAGACTGACACAGGCATGTAGTCTACACTGCATCTCAAAGCATTGTCTTCCCCATCCCAGTCTCAGCCTAATATCAGGCAAATTTCTTTCTTGTTTTTTCTTGAGTTAAAACTGTCTCAAAATCAATCACATTCTTTCTTCTAGAACGGCCTGGAAGTTGTCTCTCTTCCATATGAAATCCTGTCCAACTTTTTTAAATATTAAAATTATTCTTAACTTATAAGCAATGCAGGGTTACTGTTTTTGARAATTTAAGCAATATGGAAAAGATAAATTGAAAGGTAAAAATATTCCTCCCATCCTATTTAATCCCTATCCTCAGAGGTAATCGCTGCTACTTATTTCTGAATCCTCCCAGAAATCTTTCTACTACAAACTTATGCATTTGAATCTTTTCTTCTAGTTGTTGTTTCCTTTTGTTTTGTTTTCTTTCTAAATAGGACCATATTAAGCATTCTGGTAGTAACTTGCCTTTTTCATCTCACTGGCCCTCCTGGTTATCTTTCCACAGTAGTGTTCATGTAAATACATGAAGGCATCAACATTTACTCAACCTATCAGGTACTTTTTTTTTCTGCTACAATAATGCTTCGGTGAAATTGTACATATACTTATAGGATGAATTCATACAATTAAAATCCTGAGTGGAAGTTAAAGTTGAAAGAAGACCAAATTGTCGGGCGCAGTGGCACACTCCTGTAATCCCAGCGGCTGGGGAGACTGAAGCAGGAGGATCATGAGTTCAAAGCCAGCCTCAGCAATGGCAGGAGCTAAGCAGCTCAGTGAGATCCTGTCTCTAAATAAAATACAAAATAGGGCTGGGGATGTGGCTCAGTGGTAGAGTTCCCCTGAGTTCAATCCCCGGTACACACACACACACACACACACACACACACACACACACACATACGCACGTCCAAATTATCCTCCTTAAAAAGTAATTTATACTTAAACCAACAGTCCATTTCCCCAGTTTTGTCAACGTGGCCTGGTATACAACTGTTAAATCCTCTTTCGATATTGGAAGATCAGCACCAGAAACTGCACCACTATACAAAGCTAGACTTGGAAACTGTTACTTCCAGAACTGGAAACGAACATACGCAAAAGCCCAACAATAGAGAGAYGCCCCTTGTGGTTCGCAGGCGCAGCTCAATTAAAACTTCGGCTTCCTTSGGACACATTCGGCTTCTAGCCCCAGCCTCCTACCCCGCCCTTTCCTTCCAGCGCGGACGTTGATTGGCCAGCGGMGGGGCTATAAAAACATGAACGCATGCACAGGTCCTTTGTACCTAGGCCGGGAGTAGGCTAGCTTGTGGCTCTTTAGAGAGGTGAGAATGCCTCATCCAGTCGCCTAGCCCTGGGTGTCTAAGCCTTTCTCCGTCTTTTCTCTCATCTGGGTCATGTAGACATGAGGGAGAGACGATAGGTCACCATGAGCATGGGACCCCATTTCCTTAAGTTTGCTGGCTCCCTGATGCCACCACACCTTTGAACCTGATAGAATTCCTTGTTGGCCCCTGACTATCAGATTTGTTTTGCTGCATTATTTTAATTCTTTTAATGAATGCTCATTTCCAAAATGTAGTTTTAAAATTTAAAATGTTTCTCTAAGCCATTTTCAGGGGTGAAAAAAGAGAGATTAAAGTTCATAGGCACTTTGGATGGCTACTCACTCCATTGTACAATACATTCAGTGAAAATATATTTTTGTCATRGTTCTTTCGTGGCTCATTAGTGAGGACAATTCTATAGAACATGAGCCTTTTGTCTGAGCCTGGATGCCTGCTGACACACAGGATCATTAAAGTGTTGAGGGACCAGCTGTGGACCTAGGTATTTTTCTAGTATGGACAGGAGAAATGCGAACACAATTGAGAATGATGGATCTACTTAAAAATGGTTCAGGATACATATAGTTCAGTGGTGGARTTCTTGCCTTTCATGTACAAGGCCCTGTATTTGATTCCAGCACTACAGAAAGGAAAATGTTTAGTACAGTAGCATATACCTGAAATCAGGATGCCTAGCATGAGCCTTGACAACTCAGCAAAATCTTATCTCATTATAAAACAAGGGGATATAGATATAGCTCAGTGGTAAAGCATCCCCAGGGGTCAATCCTCAGTACTATGGTGGGAGTGGGGGGCAAGCAAGGTGTATGCTTGGTGAACAATCAGGAGCATGAAACAATGAGAAACCAAACTTGYTTGATTGGAAAGGATGGGATGGGATGGGGGAAGGTTGAAAACAAGATTTGGGCCTACAGGACCTCAAGACTCTGGATACATCTGTTTTTTCTGACATGCACAAAGGACATAACATCAGTGCCAACAAGCACTGATGGACATGTTGACTTACCTCTAGTTCATTCTCAATATGAAGTAGGTATTACCATTTTTTCAGAGTAATTTTGAGGCTCAAAACTAAAACAGGTTAAACTTGCTTTTATATCAAGTGAATAAGGGTTATTTTTTATGTGGCTTTCCTAATTTGACTTCAGATTCTTAACTATAAAGGTCTTTAAAAGCCAAACCACCCAGTGAGGCCACATACACTTTGAGTCTTGCTAGAGTACATTTTTGATTGTACTGTTTGGTAGTTACATCCATAGTTTACCACTTCCTCCTTCCTTATATTTACTGAGTACAAGGAATTCCTAATGTTGTCTCCTCTTCAGCTCTGAGTAGTATCAGCATTACAAAGGACACTTGATGGAGGAACCTGGGACCATGCTCTCCAGAATAAATTTAAGAGTCAGAGCTAGGTTTTTATCTGTCACTCAGTAATTTTGAATTTCTACTTCCCCATTTGAAGTGAGATTTTACCACCTTGAGATAACAGGATACTTTATAACAGTCTTCATTGGCCTTTTTAGTATAACATTGTATACCTTTATATTCCTCCCTCCCATAATCCCATTTCAAAGTTCTAAATGGCTTATCATCCCATGTCATTTATCAGATATGCATGGCTCTTTTGTTTTGTGGAAAGTATAATGTGGTCACACAAATTACTACAGGTTTAAAATATAACCATTTCGAGGTGCTGGCTTTCTAGGCTGGCGGTGGTGTCGAGATGACCACGCTCTGGGCCTTCACATGCGACAACCTGTTTCGCTTCAACATTAACTTGGACCCACTTACAATACCTCGCCCACTGGCCATAGTATTTCATTGTTGCAGAAGCACTTGGTGAGAATTAATGGGTTATATTATGGGTAAAGCAGAAGGCTCAGTAGCCAGAAAAGAATGGCATGGGCACTTCACAGCTGTCTGTTGCCCCTGAATTTCTACGCCTTTGGCTGTTAAACTTATGGAGTTATTAGAGGAGATTTCAGAAAGATGGATTTTTTTGTTGATCTTTTGTAAGAGTATCTAACCAAGTTGCAGTCAACATGTACAAGCAATTGGGCTACAGTGTGTATAGGACGGTCATATAGGACAGTCATAAATAAGAGTACTATTCAGCCAGCAAAGGGGAGCCCGATGAGGATGGCACTTTCCAGGCACACAAAAAAATAAATCATACCGGGGCTGGGATTGTGGCTCAGTGGTAGAGCACTTGCCTAGCACAGCACCACATAAAAAAATAAAGGCATTGTGTTGTGTCTATCTACACCTAAAAAATATTTTTAAAAAATATGCAGAGCCAAACTTCAGTAAGGGGCACATGTGGTGACTGCAGTGAACACATGCCCTGCATAGGTGGAAAAAAATTAAAAAAAAAAAAGAAATCCATCATACCATTAACTCATCCTGTGAGGCCTGAAGACACTGAATAACCCATAGGCAGTGGTTCTTAGGCAGTTCCAAATAGTTTATGGACAATATTATTTTCATTGGATGATCTTAGAGCACTATCAGGAGAAAAGTAATCATTTAGGTCTTAAAGACTTTAAGAAAATACAGGATATAAACATATTTTCAATCTCATCGTTTCCATTTAGCAATATCACGTCTTAAAATCTGTTTGCTCTAATAAAATTCAATCAAGAAGGCAGCTAGGTCAGAAGGAAGCTTTCCACTATGATTCAAAATGTGTATGCCAGGAAGAGACTTATTCCAGCCTCTTAAATTCTGTGCCTGAGAACCACTGCTCTCTCTCTATATATATGGTATTGAACTATTAAAGCTTTAAAAGCATATATGAAATGTATGATCAACAAAAAGCATATATGAAATGTATGATCTTATATCTAAGATATATAATAATTGTTGATTCTATGAAAAAAAATAAAATCTAACCAAACCATAGCCTAATCATTGGTGGCCTATCACTAGTAACCCCTCTTTAAAAAAAAAAATCTCTGCTTCTAACATTTCTGATAGTCTATGTAGTTTCTTTTGGGTAATAACCTCATACTTGGGAAATAATTATTTTCTCAAATGGTTGTAGCACTATACAC